TTTTCTTTATTTAACATAAATATAAATAAAAAACAATGAAAATGCACTTTCAATTAGTTTTAACTGCAAGCAATATGGCTGCCTTACAGTCAGCTGTTCTTTGTTTTTGTTTATTTCTCAAACCCCTCGACTTTCTCTCACTCCTCTTCTTGACAAAAACAACATTTTACATATTTCTGCAATCATATTTTCAGTGGAAATTTTCTATAGAGTTGCCATGTTAAAATGATTAATGCTTATTTTTTGTTATTTTTTATCAAACAAAAAAAAAAAAAAAAACTACTGATAACATTATAAATATACTTTAACTAATATGGCCGACTAAAGGATTTAATTTTCAAGCACCACGTCACTTTTTAGTCTAGAACGTGACTATTTTCAAATAAATTTCATCAAGAAAAAGGCTATAGGTAGTATTTTATGTCAAACTAGTTTGACATGTTGAGGCGCCTTTAATTTACTGAATGACGTGATGTTATTGAACTAAAGAAATTTTTAGGTAGAAGAATTTTATTTCACCTTAGCAACTGCTTATGAAAATCTTAAAAACCGTGAAAAACATTTGCCATTTTAGAAACGTCTAGAACACTAAGTTTACTATTTCACCATATTTGACAATTAAGCAAATGTATTTATTGATTGACAGATTTCAAGGTCCTTAGCGAAAAACAGAATGAGTCAAAAACAAACATTTCAAGATTCCAACCGAAACCGAAATGCGTACTATCTATTCCCGAAATATTTGTTTTTAAATATTTTACACTTCCCCAACGTTATTGTAATATTTCGAATATAAAATGTAATATTTTAATATCAATATCTGCTTTAAAATTCATTAAATATTTTCCCCGAATACCTGCTAATATCCTGCTAATATCCGAAATCATTTAGAATTTTCCAACCGAAATGAATTTCTTAAAACCAAAACAAAATCGCCTTAACTAGGAATGAACTGAAACTTTTTGATATACCTAATGAAATATTTTGCATTACCAAAACCATTATCATACATTCTAAGATTCGAATATGCTGCAATTACCTATTCGGTTAAACGGAAAATGAAATTTTACTTATACTATATCAATGTTAAGGAGTCATTAAGAGGAGGAACTAATAAACAAAATAATTTTTATCGATCTATCTGAAAAAATTTCGAAAATACAATTGGAATTTTTTGAAATATAAACTGAAACATTCAAAATTCAATTGGAATTAATTAGAAACTCTTGTGATTTAATTAAAACACTTTTGAAATACAGATATTAGAATCTCATGTCGATATAATATCGTAAGTTGTGTCCAATAAGAATACGCACCATTTTACTAATCTTGGACTTATTCATTCTGAGTTGGGTTACCCCCATGATCCTATATACCTTTCCATTGCACTCGTTACATTAGCTTCCGCAAGTTTCACTCTTTCATTTCCGAATGTCCTAGTGCCCAAATGATTTAGATCTTTCCATCGGAAAAGTATTCGGTTACAGCTCTCTTATAATCCAATACAGTCAGAGTTTTTACCTTATCAGTGATATCGCCCCAATTGCTACTGGCTGTTGGAATATATGTTAACCAAAGTTTAATGCCACATTCAATCCAATATAACAGTGTCCGAGTTTTTAATGTAGATCGCTAGACCCATTTTGTATTTCTGAGTCATCCGCTTGACCACGATCTCCTATCAGTCCCCAACAATTTATTTTTCTGGTATGCAAAAAGGAACGTCTGAATTTAGTGTATTGCCTTTCAACATGCCCAGTACACATTGATGATGCACAGTGGTATAGGAAAAAAAAAGAGGGAAATAATTCGGTAACTTCTAAACGGTTAATTCGATTTTAATGAAATTTGGTATGCACAAAGAGGAGGTGTTGTCAAGTTTAGGTTTTGAATTTGGACCTTATAGGCCAATCGGAACTCAAATGAAGAAATAGGATCGTTTTAAAAATTTAACATAGCCGAGGTGTCCTAATTTGAGGACCCCCCGCCGGGCCCCTGGTTGGCCTATAAGGCCCAAATTCAAAACCTAAACTCGACAACACCTCCTCTTTGTGCATACCAAATTTCATCAAAATCGGATTAACCGTTTAGAAGTTACCGAATTATTTCCCTCTTTTTTTTTCCTATACCACTGTGTGATGTGTTGTTTGCTCAATTCCCCTAAATATAGGAGCCTCTCGACTGTGAATGCAGCCTCATTTCTTATATGCGTTTTGATTGGAAATTCCGGTATTGTTTTTTATCAAAAGTGTTAAACCAGCTTATTGAAACGTAGGTTAGAACTGGTCTATGGTTCTCTAACTTAGCTAGTAACATCGACATTCTGTATTGGTTCAAAGACACTAAGAATATGGAACTTGCGTAAGCCGGGAATAATTTTATAGAAATTGATTTGTTAAACGGCTGCATAAAAATGTTTTCCAGGGCATTTTTCATACAAAGAAAATTTCGTGATTACCCCTATATTAGCGAGATAATTCGGAAATTATCCAGAATTTTCCATGACATAATCATAAGTTTTTCATTATATTCAAAGAAAGTTTTTTATATATTTACGTGTATTTTTTTTTTTTTTCAAAAGCACGTTTTATTCGGATGATTTCCTTATTTTTAAATTATTCATGGAATGATTCATTAAAAATGTATATGAATTTTTTTTAATTCTTCAATTATTTCTTAAAAAAGCTACTAAGTAGTTCTAGATTAATGTATATTGTAGAAGGATTTTGTTAAACTTCAGTTCCAGAAGATAAAATTTTGAAACAAAAAGTATTGTTAAAAAAATTGTTCTACAAAGGTCGACTACTTCCACAGAACCAGATCTGATGGTGACATTATCAAACAGGATTCCTTGGCCTCAATTCCAAACTATAAATATTGTAGACAGCCAGTTGTGGAACAACTTTATGAAGGGAGTTAAATAATTTATACTTTTTTGGACCATACACATCGTAAAACTATTAATTTAGGATTGTAAATTGGATAACAAGGCAATTCAAAACGGTTACAAATACAGACCTTATAAAGAGCTAAATACAGTTCTCAATTAAGTTATATTGATTGTGTCAACATATCAATTGCTCGTCGATCCATATAGTATATGTACATCAAAATTCAATATATTTATGTTTTATATAGGAACCGGTACCCCAACGACATTTTCGGAACTTTTTCCAATTTATAGACTTTTGATAAATAGTCTACAGTCTAGTCTATAGCCAAGTCTGCGGTCTAGTCTATAGTCTAGTCTACGGTCTAGTCTATAGCCTAGTCTACGGTCTAGTCTATAGCCTAGTCTACGGTCTAGTCTATAGTCTAGTCTATAGCCTAGTCTACGGTCTAGTCTAGTCAAGTCTATAGTCTAGTCTATAGCCTACTCTATAGTCTAGTCTATAGCCTACTCTATAGTCTAGTCTATAGCCTACTCTATAGTCTAGTCTATAGCCTACTCTATAGTCTAGTCTATAGTCTAGTCTATAGTCTAGTCTAGTCTAGTCTAGTCTAGTCTATAGTCTAGTCTATAGTCTAGTCTATAGTCTAGTCTATAGTCTAGTCTATAGTCTAGTCTATAGTCTAGTCTATAGTCTAGTCTATAGTCTAGTCTATAGTCTAGTCTATAGTCTAGTCTATAGTCTAGTCTATAGTCTAGTCTATAGTCTAGTCTATAGTCTAGTCTATAGTCTAGTCTATAGTCTAGTCTATAGTCTAGTCTATAGTCTAGTCTATAGTCTAGTCTATAGGTCTAGTCTATAGTCTAGTCTATAGTCTAGTCTATAGTCTAGTCTATAGTCTAGTCTATAGTCTAGTCTATAGTCTAGTCTATAGTCTAGTCTATAGTCTAGTCTATAGTCTAGTCTATAGTCTAGTCTATAGTCTAGTCTATAGTCTAGTCTATAGTCTAGTCTATAGTCTAGTCTATAGTCTAGTCTATAGTCTAGTCTATAGTCTAGTCTATAGTCTAGTCTATAGTCTAGTCTATAGTGTAGTCTATAGTCTAGTCTATAGTCTAGTCTATAGTCTAGTCTATAGTCTAGTCTATAGTCTAGTCTATAGTCTAGTCTATAGTCTAGTCTATAGTCTAGTCTATAGTCTAGTCTATAGTCTAGTCTATAGTCTAGTCTATAGTCTAGTCTATAGTCTAGTCTATAGTCTAGTCTATAGTCTAGTCTATATTCTAGTCTATAGTCTAGTCTATAGTCTATATAGAGGAATATATGTTAAGTACATTAAAACCTAAAAAAGTTCTCTGTTGTTAAAAGTTAATACTATGTTAAAATTTAAATTTGACATGCCTGGTTCGGACCATAATGGAAACAAGGCCAGCTTCCAAGAAGTCATTCGCATTTGCTTCTGATGTATTATAGGTATAGTCCGGTTTGACCCCAGTGAGACTCCTAAGAAACGATATAAAGAAGACCAGCAAATATGCTGGATTAGATCGTTTTTATAATCTATAATGAAATGGATTTTCATAAAGATCTTCTAAGAAATATGAACTTTGAAATCTCTAATCTAACTAAATAAATGCAACACTGTTGTACATAAATATGTATCTTTAGTTTTGTAATTTAAATATGCAAATATTTGTTGCTAACCCAAATAAATACACATTGTACATAACGTTTAATCTAGTTCATCATTATCTTATGCCAATTGATTGACAATAAAATATCTCGCTAAGTACCCAAATGTGTACACGATAACTCTGAATGAAATTTCGTTTTGGAAGACATGAATTATAGTATTACTTTGTAACGCAGTAGGATGATTCATGCACAACACACCCCACCACAGAAGATAATTTTGGTGTAGTGCTGGTTTCTAGTAGTTGAAAAAGTCAGCCGCCATGTTGGTTAAGCCATATTTGACATATGCACGAAAACAAAATCAAAATAGAGAGAATTCCCTCACAGAGAGTGAGTGCAAATAATAACAATAATAATAACAAACACACATACCAATGAACTTTTTGGGAATATGGTGTGTATACAAGTATCGACCCAAACAGCACTATAAACAGCAGTTCCAAAGTGTCTATTAAACAAGCAAGACCCCAAAAAAGAAACCGAAAAAAGACAAAAACAATTAAAGAATATTAAAACATCATATATTCATAAAGAATTTGTGAATTAAGGAATCAAAAAATTGTAAGTAGGGTTTTAATTAAAACAACAAAAAATTGCATTAGATAACGGTTTTCTAGAGTAGTGAAAAAGAGTAAACTGAAAATCAAGAAATTTCTATTTAAAAACCAATTAACTCGAGAGAATATAAAGTATTCGTTTCAAATAATTCAACGAAATCACACACGCACAGAAAAACGCAGTATAATTTTATAAAAATATTGATTGTTTTTGAGGTGTGAAGAAAAAATATAAATTTAAAAAGAAAAAAATTACTTGTGTTTAATAGAAAAACAAAATTTTAATTTAAAAAATAATTTTGAAGTTTTGGATGAAAAAATTTTTCATAATAATTGTGTTTTTTTTTTCTTTTTACATATTTTTTTTTAGAAACAAGAAAGAAAAATCGAAAAACAAAGATGAAATCTTTTATTGTTGTTGCTTTGTTGGCTGCTATTTGCGCCGTAGTAAAAACCGAGGAAGTTTGCCACTCCAATGTAGTGAGCGCTTGTGCCTCTTCCACACTCTCTGGTGAGTATACAATGTTTTCTTAATAATGTGATAAATGTAAAGAAAATAATATTTTATGTAGTAGTATGTTGATGTAATGTTAACATTAAGCAAAATAATTTTAACATTTCTCTTTTATGGTTTACCGTTTAACAAAGTAACATTAGCTATGTTACAGTTAACAGTGAACATGTAAAGTAATGTTAATATTAAGTGTTTAATGTTAAGGTTCAATTAATAGCCATGATAATTTGTTAATAATTTCCGGATGCTTTTTATTCTTTTTTTCCTAAATAACAAAAAAAAAAAACCTTAACAAGCTATAACCGGAATGTTTGCTAGTGAAAGTAAGAATTTAAATTTAATATTTAACAAGATTTTGTTTGATTAGTTAACAATTAAGCCACTAAATATTACTTTTACTATCAGCCTAAGCGTTTTGTTTAAAAGCAAAACGCCCAGCAAATAGTAGTTATTTTGTTTTTCCTCTTTAATAACAAACTTTATTATCACTCTCTTTAATAACCCTCAAAATTATTTACTTTTGTGTAAACAATAGGCACTTCTATTTGTAACTCCCGCTATGGTGGCATTGAACACATCGAACCTGAAGTTCAGGCTTACATCAACTCCCATTTGACTAAATCCTATGAATACTTGTTGTTGGCCACCCACTTCAATTCCTACCAAAAGAATCGTCCCGGTTTCCAAAAACTGTATCAAAGTCTCTCTGATCGTTCATTCGATGATACTATTGATATGATTAAACAAGTGACCCGTCGTGGTGGCAAGGCTAACTTCAATGTTGTCCACGAAAGTCCTGCTACTGTCAGCAAGAGCGCTTTACATTTGGAAGTCGATGAATTGCACTCTTTGGCCATGGCTTTGGATACTGAGAAACAATTGTCCAACGGTGCTATCCATGTCCACACCCGTTCTCTTCACGCTAACAGCGGTGAACGTGACCCTGAAATGGCTCAATACATGGAAGAGAAATTCTTGACCAAACAAGCTGCTACCGTACGTAAATTGTCTGGTTATGCCAACGATTTGTCCAAATTGATGAACCAACAAGATCCCTCTTTGGCCGTCTATTTGTTCGATGAATATTTGCAAAAGCAATAAATTTACTTCAATATAAATTATCATGAAATAATAGCAAACAGCAAAGAGTAACAGAAACAACAACATCTATTAACTAGAAATTATATTAGTTGTAACCAACAACACGAACTAAATTATCAACTTAATAAAACATTTTCCAAATTTAACTCTTTGTTCAAATAAAAACGCATTTTTAGTTTTATTATTACATTTCAATTAGATTTTTTGTTTTTTCGTTTTTTTTTTTTTTATTTATTTTGCCAGCAAAATTATTTGAGTATTATAAACATTATAATTTTTCTCTTTTTTCCCATTTCGTTTATCTATGATTTACCAATGTTATACAAATTATAAAATAAATAAATAAAATCTAAATATTACACATGTAGCACACTTCAATTTAATCCAATTAATATACTATTTCATTAATATAATTGTGATAATTTCCAAGTTCTTGGTTTTTAACCTTATAAAAACAAGAACAATAACAATAAATAAATCTTTAAATAAAAAGAATTTAAAGCTTCAAAACAAAACAAAAAGTGTTTTATTGCAAACTAATTCTCCCTCTCTCTCTCGCGCTAATTAAAGTCAAATTTTGATTAGAGTATTTAAAAGAGATGACTGACTATTTTAAGTAAAAATTTCTGGGGAACTACTAATCTCACGATTTGTTTAAATTTAAAAAAAAAATAATAATAACCGTTAAAAATCAATGCAATTTTCAAGATTATTTCATAAATTGATTAAAAAAGTCCATTAGTTTGTCTTCAAAATTGTTTACAAATAACTTGTTTATATTCAACTCGTCAGCATTTCCAATTTCAAATGCGCATTTGTTTTCATTATCATTTTGCGACATCTTTAATAGCTGTGATCTTTTGTAAAAACTATTGTAAATTTTGTTTATGTTTTCCTAAGGGAAATTTGCGAAATGTTTAAAAGTTTGGTTTTGGGTTGTGATAACACCAAATCATATTCCATATGGATTTTCAAGCGAAAATAGTATAGCCGTAGCGTACGCTTAACGTATGGCGCTATCGGGAGATGTTAAAAAGTAAATATTTACGAAATGCAGATGTAAATCGGCTGCAGTGAGTGATCAAGCGATTAAATGTAATGTATTATTTTTTTGTATATATGTATATGATCCAATAGAATCGGCTACAGTCTAAATACTAGAAATCATTAACCAATAAACATATAATAACGCCGATACAGATCCAGTAGAATCGGCTACAATCTGAGAACTAGAAATCAGTAACTAACTAACTAACTAACTAGCTAACTAACTAGCTAACTAACTAGCTAACTAACTAACTAACTAACTAACTAACTAACTAACTAACTAACTAACTAACTAACTAACTAACTAACTAACTAACTAACTACTAACTAACTAACTACTAACTAACTACTAACTAACTAACTAACTAACTAACTAACTAACTAACTAACTAACTAACTAACTACTAACTAACTAACTAACTAACTAACTAACTAACTAACTAACTAACTAACACTAACTAACTAACTAACTAACTAACTAACTAACTACTAACTAACTAACTAACTAACTAACTAACTAACTAACTAACTAACTAACTAACTAACTACTAACTAACTAACTAACTACTACTAACTAACTAACTACTAACTAACTAACTAACTAACTAACTAACTAACTACTTACTAACTAACTACTTACTTACTTACTAACTAACTAACTAACTAACTAACTAACTACTAACTAACTAACTAACTAACTAACTAACTAACTAACTAACTAACTAACTAACTAACTAACTAACTAACTAACTAACTAACTAACTAACTAACTAACTAACTAACTAACTAACTAACTAACTAACTAACTAACTAACTAACTAACTACTAACTAACTAACTACTAACTAACTAACTAACTAACTAACTAACTAACGAACTAACTAACTAACTAACTAACTAACTAACTAACTAACTAACTAACTAACTAACTAACTAACTAACTAACTAACTAACTAACTAACTACTAACTACTAACTAACTAACTAACTAACTAACTAACTAACTAACTAACTAACTAACTACTAACTAACTAACTAACTAACTAACTAACTAACTAACTAACTAACTAACTAACTAACTAACTAACTAACTAACTAACTAACTAACTAACTAACTAACTAACTACTAACTAACTAACTAACTAACTAACTAACTAACTACTAACTAACTAACTAACTAACTAACTAACTAACTAACTAACTAACTAACTAACTAACTAACTAACTAACTAACTAACTAACTAACTAACTAACTAACTAACTAACTAACTAACTAACTAACTAACTAACTAACTAACTAACTAACTAACTAACTAACTAACTAACTAACTAACTAACTACTAACTAACTAACTAACTAACTAACTAACTAACTAACTAACTAACTAACTAACTAACTAACTAACTAACTAACTAACTACTAACTAACTAACTACTACCTAACTAACTAACTAACTAACTAACTAACTAACTAACTACTAACTAACTAACTAACTAACTAACTACTAACTAACTAACTAACTAACTAACTAACTAACTAACTAACTAACTAACTAACTAACTAACTAACTAACTAACTAACTAACTAACTAACTAACTAACTAACTAACTAACTAACTAACTAACTAACTAACTAACTAACTAACTAACTAACTAACTAACTAACTAACTAACTAACTAACTAACTAACTAACTAACTAACTAACTAACTAACTACTAACTAACTAACTAACTAACTAACTAACTACTAACTAACTAACTAACTAACTAACTAACTACACTAACTAACTAACTAACTAACTAACTAACTAACTAACTAACTAACTAACTAACTAACTAACTAACTAACTAACTAACTAACTAACTAACTAACTAACTAACTAACTAACTAACTACTAACTAACTAACTAACTCTAACTACTAACTAACTAACTAACTAACTAACTAACTAACTAACTAACTAACTAACTAACTAACTAACTAACTACTAACTAACTAACTAACTAACTACTAACTAACTAACTAACTAACTACTAACTAACTAACTACTAACTAACTAACTAACTAACTAACTAACTAACTAACTAACTAACTAACTACTAACTAACTAACTAACTAACTAACTAACTAACTAACTAACTAACTAACTAACTAACTAACTAACTAACTAACTAACTAACTACTAACTAACTAACTACTAACTAACTACTACTAACTAACTAACTAACTAACTAACTAACTAACTAACTAACTAACTAACTAACTACTAACTAACTAACTAACTAACTAACTAACTAACTAACTACTACTAACTAACTAACTAACTAACTAACTAACTAACTAACTAACTACTAACTAACTAACTAACTAACTAACTAACTAACTAACTAACTAACTAACTAACTAACTACTAACTAACTACTAACTAACCTAACTAACTAATTAATTAACTAACTAACTACCTAACTAACTAAACTAACTACTAACTACTAAACTAACTAACTACTAACTAACTAACTAACTAACTACTACTAACTAACTACTAACTAACTAACTACTACTAACTAACTAACTAACTACTAACTAACTAACTAACTACTAACTAACTAACTAACTAACTAACTAACTAACTAACTACTAACTAACTAACTAACTAACTAACTAACTAACTACTAACTAACTAACTAACTAACTAACTAACTAACTAACTAACTAACTAACTAACTAACTAACTAACTAACTTACTAACTAACTTACTAACTAACTTACTTACTTACTTACTAGCTAACTAACTAACTAACTAACTAACTAACTAACTAACTAACTAACTAACTAACTACTAACTAACTAACTACTACTAACTAACTAACTAACTAACTAACTAACTAACTACTAACTAACTAACTAACTAACTAACTAACTAACTACTAACTAACTAACTAACTACTAACTAACTAACTAACTAACTAACTAACTAACTACTAACTAACTAACTAACTAACTAACTACTAACTAACTAACTAACTAACTAACTAACTAACTAACTAAATAACTAACTAACTTACTAACTATATAAAACAGACAAATCGAACTTATGCCTCAACACAGGCCAAACAATTTTTAACCCAGAGGCCACAGTGTACTTTACTGAAGGATTGAGCTGTGCTAAATCCGAGCCTCAGAATTTCTCCGTTACAACTGCGATTCGAGATATCTTGTCCTGAAGTTGGAAATAATTCCTTTTGAGACGTTATAACACAATAACGTTGATACAACAATATGTTTTTAATTGTTTACAAATCTGCTGTAGTTACTGAGATATCATCCCTTGCAAAGCATAATACATACCCTCCGCACTACAGTAGTGTAGTGTATAAATACCATGAATATAGCGAATACCGTGAGTTTTTAAGCTTGAGGTGAAGATATCTCGAAGGATAAAGAAGATATGTCAGATGTTAAGCTTTAAAGCTGGCAGAATGAACTTTCAGATGGCATAAAACATTTTATACATAAAGTTGTCTTGTCGCTGTTATAACGTCTCAAAAACCGCCAAAAATTACGTTTTTTCAAACTTCACGATATCCCAAATTCCAGATCAGATTCGTATTTAGCGTTGCTCAATCTTTTACAAGAGTATAACTTGGTCTAAAGGTTTCGACTTTTTTCAAATTTTGTCGGTCTATGTAATGTAATAGAGTTTTAGATCGGCTCCCACTGGCTTTCTGCACTAAGATAAACACATGTTCAAAATACCAAGGAAGATTACTAAAGACTTAAATTATAAATTTTACAATGGTTTGAAAATTTATAAAAAGCAGTACGGATCATGTTTCAATATTTCTTACGTCAAGTTCCGAACTTATGTCAATAGAATCACTACAGATTCTTAGTCCAAATTTTTGGAACTAATGATATAGTCATTACATCTGGAGTACTTCTAAGGAGTTTTTAAGGAACCAGTTTTTTTAGTTGTACATTCATACTAATTCAATGGAACGCATAGTAGCTTCGAAACTAATTATTGGAGCAGTTGGAAATAACATCAAAAACTTTGATTTACTAGATTTATTTTCATCAAAATAGAAAAGTATGATTTTCCAAAGCTACCTTTACACTATCGAAGTTACAGAACAAATATATATACATATTTATATGATTAATCAGAATCTTAATATTTTTCACATTAGAATCTAGTAACCGATAAAAAAAACTAAAACCACAATGAGTCTTCATTATTTCTTAAAGACATGATTTAGCTCAAGAAATTATAAATTAATCGTTTCAAATAATTGAACGAAATAACTTGTACAGAAAACGCGAAAGAAAGAATGAAATCTTTTATTGTTGTTGCTATGTTGGCGGCTATTTGTGTCGTGACAAAAACTGAAGATGTTTGTCATTATAATGTAATGAGAGCTTGTGCTAGCGATAGTCACACAGGTGAGAATTTAATGTTAAATGATTATTAAAATATTATTAGAAAAACAATAAGTAGTGTTTTTCATCTGAACAACGATATCTATAATTTTTCTTTCTAATAACAATAGGGTTTGTTTGTAACTCCCGTAATGGTGGTATTGATCACATCGAACCAGAAGTGCAGGCATATATCAACTCCCATTTTATAAAATCTTTTGAATACTTGATGTTGGCCACTCACTTCAATTCTTACGAAAAGAATAGACCCGGTTTTCACAAACTCTACCAACGACTTTCCGATCGTTCATTCGATGACGCTATTGAAATGATCAAACAATTGTCCCGCCGCGGTGGAAAGGTCGACTTCAGTGTTGTCCACGAAAGTCCCGCTAGTATTGGTCAAAAATCTCTAAATTTGGAAACCGATGAATTGCATTCTTTGGCTATGGCCTTGGATACTGAGAAACAATTGTTCAACGGTGCTATTCATATCCACACCCGTTCTCTTCATGCTAGTGAGCGTGACCCTGAAATGGCTCAGTACATAGAGGAAAATTTCTTAAGCAAACAAGCCGAAACTGTACGAAAATTGTCTGGTTATGCCAACGATTTGTCGAAATTGATGAGCCATCAAGATCCTTCTTTGGCCGTCTATTATTTTGATATATATTTAGGAAAGCAATAAATTAATTACGTAATCGTAAATAATATCCATATATTTTGAAACAATTGTATTACTTTAACAAAAAGATCTGAATTTACTATTGTTATTAGGATTTTATTCTAAATTATAAACATTAATTGTAATATCTAAATTTTTGAAACTTAAGCGCTATAATAAATATGACATTAAATATCAAGTCTGGGTGTTATATTCGAAATTCAAAGAATTTTCCAATCAGTGTTCGTGAGGGTTGAGGTGAGGGGGATATTTGAATCTAATTTCGGCGAAAGCCTGACAAAGTCAAAGAAAGTGCTCCAGAATTTCACTGTCCTCTCTACATGCTCAACATTCGTCTGAATCCCGTGTGTCCACTCAGAATACGTACGCTCATACTAACCTCAGATTTGCTCATTTTGAGGAGGCTTCTCGTCTTGCCCATTATTTTTATCTTGCCCCCGTTGCATCAAATGCAACGTTCGTCAGGTTAACTATCTCGAGCTCCCTTTCCTTTAAAGCTATTACATTCCCTCTTTCGTTGTCGACTACTCTCGAGTGTCCTGGTACCCATATGATGTCAACCTTACCTCTGGGATAGTATTTGGTTAGAGTTTTTTTTACAATCTAATACGGTCTTAGATTTAACTTTATCATCTGATATCGCCCTAATTGCCTTTTGCAGTCGATAAATATGTTAAGCTCTGTGGGCATCAAGCTTGTGGGCCTCGAGGCATCCGTGTATCAATGGATTACTGCGTGCATTTGCTCTAATGTTCCGCTTGACCAAGACATTCTATCTGGGATTTCAAAGTTTCCGACATCTTCTGTGTCTGGCACAGGCACATTCGCTGATTGTGTATACACGCAGAGGAAAAACATGGTTGTGGTAACCATGTTCTAAGGGCAACATATTATGGTTAAATTATGATTGTAGTCTAAACATATTATCGTTATTGTAACAATTTTAAAATATCATATTATGATTAAATACCGTGGAAATATTTTATCATAATATTTTTCTATTTATCATAATATTGTTATACTTGATCACATTGGATCGTATCCAATGTGATCAAAATTTCGTTTAAAAATATGTATCGAAATCAAAATAAATTTTACTGAATTAGTAAAATTACAGTTTCTAAAAAAATATATATAAATGAATAGATTATACTTACAATATTATACTTACAATTTGCTTCACAAAAACATAATATCGAGGGACTATACTGAATATAGTTCCTTGAACATGAAAATGTTTACAGTAACTAAAATATTGTTAAAATCTAATTAAAATAATAATAACATGTTTTTGAAAACAATATATTGTTACAGTAAACATGGTGTAGTTATAGTAACCATTTCGAACCATGTTTTTTCTCTGCGTGTAGCTTTCCAATGTGTCCAGTATAGATGGATGACGTGTCCTATAACCTCTTTTGGCCAGATCGCCTAAAGTTCTAAGCCGTTCGGTTATAAGTGCCGCATATCTTAAATATGTTTTAATGGGTAAGGTTACCAGAGCCTTGATTCAAGTAGTACTCATGACACCAGCATCATTCTGCGAAGGTTATTAATCGAAAATAACTTATTACTGAATCAATATCGGTATAACATTCGACACAAATATGTTCTGAATACATATACAAATCATTTTGGTATTTTTTTTTTCGTATTGGCCCATAATTGTCCAAAAATTCCAATAATTCCAAAAATCACTTATGAACTAATAATGATATCAGGATAAAATTGGACACAAATATATATGTTCTCATTTTGCGAAATAACTCTTTACTAAACAACGACATCAGAACAAAATGAAGTCCATTTCCGAAAAACACTTCAATGTACAGAATTCAGTTGTCGTTACAGAAACCAAATATAATATTTCAAAATTTATAAAATATAAATTTCTATATATAGGTATTTGACGTCTTTATAAAAAGTATTAAAGATTTACCCCCTTATTCATAAACAACATTTTATTTTATAAAAGGTTTATAAAACAAAATTTCCATACGAAATTTGATTTATAAATCGTTTATAAAATAAAATTGTCTTTATGAATAAGGTGGTTAATCATCAATAACATTTTTATAAACTAGATTTACACTATTAAATTATATTCATATGATTACTCAGAATCCCATTTAATCTATTATACATATTTTCAGAATTAACTAAAACCGCAATTAGTGCAAAAAAAATATTTTCTAATATGGTTTTTCTCTATCATATTTCTATTAATAATAATTATACCCTACACCACTTTAGTGGGGAGGGTATATTGGATTTGTGCTGATGTTTGTAACATACAAAAATATTCGTCCTAGACCCACCTTAAAGTATACCAATCGGCTTAGAATCGTTTTCTGAGTCGATTAAGCTATGTCCGTCCGTCCGTCTGGCTGGCTGGCTGTCCATATAAACCTTGTGCGCAAGGTACAGGTCGCAATTTTCAAGATAATTGGATGAAATTTGGCACGCACGTTTTATTTGACCCAAGGACGAAAATGGTTAAAATCGGTCCATTATTTCACCTAGCCCCCATAGAACAGAACCCCCCGAAAAGGGCTCCTGAGCTCATAATTATGTTAAATATACAGATATATCGATAAAATACGGCACAACTAAGTTTTATAGAAGTCTTGATGACCCTGCCAAATTTCATAAAGATCGGGCCCCATTTGACCCTAGCTCCCATACAAAGTCCCCATCAGAAAATTATTTAAATGTCCCAAATTAATTTATAAACACAAATATCGCGATGAAATTCAGCACAATAAAATATTATGTAAATATAAATATATTCCCAAAATTTTATTGGGCTTGGTCCATATTTGCCCCTAGCCCCCATATAAAGCCTCTTTCAGAAAATTAGTTTTTCATCCATAAATTGCTTAAATGTATCGGAACAAGGGAATATTGAAGATAAATGCTTTATTATGAAAAATAAATCACATTTAATATTCATAACTGGTGTAGGGTATCATATGGTCGGCCACGCCCGACTATACTTTCTTACTTGTTTAATATTGTTTTTATTCTATGTCTCTTCAAGTTTTCAAATAAAATTTACCCAAAATACCCTCTACCTAAAAGTGAACATAATGGCAATATTGTTTCATTATAAACAAATTATTATGGTTAAATTAACTCTCCCTCTCTGTTTTTATCAATAATTTTTAGCTTTATCATGTTGTTATGGTTTTTTTCTAAGGTTGTTTACATTTTTTGTTTTTATTTTTGTTCGTGTTTTTTGTTTATTTTTGTCTACACTAAATTTGTTTGTCGAATACATACAAACTGTTCTTGTTTTTTCTAGAATAGTATAAAACAAACAATACGACGTCATTTGTTTATTTGTTGTTCTTTGTCTATGACGAAACTATACGATGATTTGTTAAAATAATGTGAAAACGTACTTAATACGAATGAGGGCAGCGGACTGCAAAAATATAAATAATGAAGAGTTCTTATACAAATTTAAATGGATGTTTTAGCAGTTCATTCTTTCTTAAATAAGATCACTTGATTTGGAATAAAAGGCCCAAGAGCCGGTTTTATAGTGCACTCTAAGGAAAGGAATTTGATTTAAGTTTAAAAAAGTTCTTTGAAACTTAAGGTATTGCTGCGTATTCTTCCCAAAATTTAAATTTGGCATTGATCGCTCAATCGATCAATGCCATCATGTCACGAGCTTCGGTTTAGAAGATATAAGGTAATATGAATTGTGGTTCAGATCGGAAGTAATTTGGTATCTCTGAAACTATTAAAGATATCGTAATAAAATTTCACGCTGTTAATGCTGAGGTGTTTACGAGTTATAGATGATCATAATGGGAGCCTCTTAAAATTGGTAATCTTGGGTATCACATTTAAAAAAAATCGCCAAAAATCCATTTATGATCCGAATGACCTGAAATTTAAAATATAACTACTCCTTCAGAAGGTGTACAAAAATTCCCGAATCATATGAAAATTGTATATAAAAATTTATTTTCTTTTTCTAAAAAAAAAACCTTAAAACTACGATCCTTATAACATTTACATTTTATCACAAAAACTATGTAATATCTCTTGATATTACACTTGGGTATAAGTGGTACCATGTGTACTACTTAAACCAAAGCTCTGGAAACGCTGCTAGATATTATACCCATTGAAACATATTTAAGATATGAGGCGGCGATTACAGCCGAACGGATCTTTACTTTAGGCGAACTGGCCAAAAGCGGTTATAGAACACGTCATCACTGTATACTGGACACATTGGAAGATTATACACAATCATCGGACGTGCTTGATCGCATACCAGACACAGAATATGTCGGAAACTTTGAAACGCTGATCACAGATAGCATTTTTTGTTCAAACGGAAAACTAGATCAAATACCAGTAGGAATCCGTTGTTACACGTATGGCTTTAAATTGGGGGATAAAGTGGGCCTGGTATTCTATATTGAAGACGTAGAAACAGAAATATACCACTGTTTACCTAATCATAACACAAGCTTCCTGGCAGAAATCCGAGCAATAACGTAATGTGTAAATTGGATTAGAATAAATATGGCGCCCACAACCCTTAATATATTTATGAAAGCCAGAAGGCAATTAGGGCAATATCAAGTGATAGAATTAAATCTAAGACCTTTTTGGATTGTAAGAAAGCTTTAACTGAGTACTCTCCCAGAGGTAAGGTTTACATCATATGGGTACCTGGACACTCGGGAGTAGTCGGCAACAAATGGGCGAATGTAATATCTTTAAAGGGAAGGGGGCTCGAGGTAGTTAACCTGACAAACGCAAAACCATTCGACGCAACAAAAGCTGAATTAAAAATATGGATGAGAGAATCCCATAAGGCCTCTTGGAATAATGAAACGGTGGGTAGAACCACAAAGATCCTATAGGGTGACCCTGATAAGAACAAGACGAAAAATCTCCTTAAAATGAGCAAGTCTGAAGTTAGTATGGTGGCACGTATTCTGAGTGGACACGAGCACATCTATACAAAATTGGCCGTGCGGATTCAGACGAATGTAGAGCATGTGGAGAGGACAGTGAAACTATGGAGCACTTTCTTTGCCACTGTCAGGCATTGGTCGCAGTTAGATCCAAGTATCTTGGAAGTGATGTTATTCCGGAAATAACATTCTTGAATAACACTGATTGGAAAATTCTTAGGAATTACGTCCAGGAAACTAAGTTTCTGAACAT